GGGGGGGGGAATGGTCGACGATGTCGGGACCAGGCGACTTCGAGAAAAGTCGCCGATTGTAAATGCGTGTTGAAAACGGGTGCGCGTTAATTGGCGGCACGGCCGCAAGATGGCGTAATCCATGCGACGCTGCTTTTGACGTTCGTGTATGAGTTTTTTTTTTGGTTCCTTCTACTTTGAAAACGGCAGGAAGCAAAAATTGTTAGCACGGTGTTTAGTATTCGCTGATCTGACTGAGGATGTGGTGGAAAGAGTTACGTATGGTAGCGACGATTCAACCGACTAGGATCCCGATTTCGAGTACATAGTACGCGAGGCGCACGAGGTCCCGCGATTGGCCAGTTTATGAGACGACGATGGCTCCGTGAGGAGAGAACATGGCTGCGACGCAAGCCGAGAGCCAACAAAACGATGTGAAGCTGAACGAGTCCGTGAAATGTGCACAGAAACGTCCGCAAGTCGGTGGGAATAGTGCGAGTGTTAATACGAAACAGCAGCTGGATCCAGAGCCGGGTGATAAAGTGTCCCGGGGCGCGGCCCAGCTGCTTAAATATGTGAATCGCGGCGGGGACACGGGTTTCGAGATGAGTCAATACCGCGAGGACATTGGTGGACACACTGCCGGTGAAGTCAAATCGCCAAGGGAGGCTGGACAAGCGCCCCAGGAGACGATCGGCAAGCAAGAGGCCCTTGATACGCCCGGGCATCCGAACCATCCCGGACATCCGTTCACGTCGAACGTAATACGCGATTACCCGGAGGAGTACACCAACAAGTCGAACGAATTTCCCTCCAAATCACTGGCCGATTATCCGGGCAAGCAAGTGCCCGAATACATGGGAAAGCATGGTGACTTCCCGGGGAAACAGTTGGATTATCATGGTAAACACTTAATACATGAAAGTGAAAGAGTTCATCGGGTCGAGATGGAAGAGCATTATGCACCTTCCAAGATTGAGTCGCGATTGGCGTACGTAGGGGCAACGCCGACCAGTTTCCCTGGTCAAACGAGGTTTCTGTCAGGGCAGAGTATATCGCAGGCGACTGGTCCAACACCCACGTTGAATCAGTTGCTCCAAGCATCCACGCCTGTCCACCGTTTTCATGGGAATTATCCTGGAATGGGGCCAGAGCCTTATCAACAACCGTGGCCCATTCAGCGACCACCGGTTGTCCCGCCGGTTTATCCACAACCTGGTCAACGTCCCCCACAGACGGTGAGCAAAGGCAGTTTACATTCATCTGCAACTGCGTACAATTTGTACTTTGTTATTTTCACTGCGACGTCGAACCCAGTGTTTGTAACAATTTACATAAGTTTCGTTTGTTGTGAGATGTATTACTTGGTCATGTCTTGATGACGACAAGTTATTAGTTAAATGTATTGTAAAATATGCAGGGATCACCAAGATTACACGCAGGACCTGGAGGACCAAGTTCTCCAACTCCTATGCCATATCAACAATATACGCCACGTTATTCTTCTCCTGCAAGACCTCATGCACCATACAGCCACCATCAGGTATTTATAACAGCAATTGTTACCATGTTCATTGTACTGAGATAGTTACCCATATTAATTGACTTCTTGTGTTTTGCAGCTAAATTCATATACTACACAAACCAGCCATCCTTCCAGTCTGTACACTGAACAGAGAGGTTGGAATCAAGGTGGACCACCGAATCCGCCACCACCTTCAGCTAATCAGACTAATCCTTCCAGTCAGTCGCCACAGCGCGCTCTTTCTCAATCCCCAGCACCACCACCTTCTGCATCTCCACAACCACAATCAACTAGCCAGTCTCAAGTAGGTTATACAGATAAACATTTTATGTTTTTGATGTAACGATTAATGTCCTTGGCATAAAAGTTTCTATGAATTGTACATACAAACAAACGTACATACAAGCAAAGAGCGTTTTCTTTTGTCTTCTTAACGTGTCGATGAAAAAAACGTGCCGAATGCATCCGCAACTTTTCTATAAAAAGCTGTACGACGTCGAGTAAAATAAGTCGAAAGTAAGATGAACTTTTTTCCCATTGATTTGTATTTTTTAGTTCCTTGTACAAAAATATATGACTTACAGTATGTATCTCTCTTTGTTTACAGAGTTTTCATAACTTACAGCAACGATCAACAACACCAAATACTCAAGGGATAGACTCAGGGGTGAGTATTACCATTGTATTTCGCAAAAAGTGGCATGTATTAAAATCTCTGTCTCGAAAATTACCTAACAAGGTTATCAATAATTACGAGGTATCTTCCTTCCGTACGTGTCGAAATAATCCGGGGAAAAGCGGAGAGAAAGAACGAGACTCCCGTGAAACTCGTTTCCGTCGTATCTCGCAGATTGATGCGTCGCGATCGTGATTTATTTTGATCTTAATTAGAAAGCACATGCGCGCCTGGGTGCACGTGTGTGCACGTGTTATTGTTATTTCGTGTTTGTGTTACGATTGGTTCTCGACTTGGGCCGCGTTTTAAAAATAAAACGGCCTAATGATAAAGACACCTAGTGGCTGTTGCGCGCGGCCTAGCCGTGCGATAACGCCGCGCGTCGCAAAGCGAATTCTAATTTCACGTTGCATAAAGTGCCATTTGATCTTGGATACAGTGGACAGGAGGAGTACTTCAATACTTCTCTCGTGAAAAGAGCAAGCATGAGTGAGCGAAAGGGAGATCTCTCGAGTATAGGTTGCCTATCTGTAGGAGGGGCAGGGTGTGGAAAGTGGGGATGGAGAATAAGCGACTTGTAGAGTTCGATTAGGGCGCGAGTTGCGCGGCCGCTGGAGCCCCAGATATTAGTGACTTCCCCTTTCCGCCTTCTCCTTCCCTCCCTTCGTCCATCCTTTCTCTTTCTCTCTCCCTCTCTCTCACGCTCTCACTCTTACTCCTTCTCGCTGTTTGTCTCTGTCTCTCTCGCTTTTTCTCCCCACTCCGTTTGACTGGTTGTCCCTTTTCAAACACACACGTTTCTCGCACGTACGTGTGTGCAACACATATATCCCTCTTCGTCGTGCGTCAGACTTCTCGTTTCCTCCAACAAGGATGGGCGGGCTAGTAGGAGAAGCACGAGTGTTACACAGGTTACCTGAGTATAGCAAGCGAGAGCGAGGTTAGTGATTCGCTCGAATTAGTGTGGTGATGGTGATGGTGGGGGCGGTTGTGACGGCTATGGAGGGGAGTGAGGGGGTATCTGTGGTGGTTCTCCCCACCACTTCTGACGTTTTATATCGTTCAGCTATATTCGGTTCGTTAGATCATGCAACTGTCATTCTGCGACATGCTATCGAACTTCTCATGTTCCCATGACGCGACTGAAAACCGGCAAATATTTCAAACGTTCGATATAATTTCTTTCAAACGATCGTTAAATGGAACTCTGTTTGCATATAATATGCTTTTCCTCTTTCTCTCTTTTTTTCTCTCTCTCCTGTCTCTCTCTTTTTCTGTCGAACGAATGTAACATTGAGAAATAAATTTTGTTTTTTATTTATATTTAACAGATCGGCCCGCGTTTCCTTGCTTCAGAATCGTCGGGTTTTAAATTTTCATTGGGCAAGGATTGTCCACTGTTCGACGTTCCCTCGTTCGATGTTATGACACCGAAGGACAAAAATATTATATAACGCCACCGATATTGTCGTTCTTTGTTCCTTCTTGCTTCGTAAGGTTGAACAACGCAATTCATACCGATCGAAATTATAGTTGCACACAGTGTGTACTAAATCTAAGAAAAAAAAGAAAAAGAAAAGAAAAGAATAACGCAACTGGTACTAAAGATTTTGCGAAACGTCGAAACTTCCAACGACGAGAACCTACGACGGCTCGGGATCGTTTGAAAGTTACCGTTGTTCGTGCCTCGTCAATTGACACAACCAAGAACACGAAAGAAAACGAAAACGTTCCGACGATTTCCGAGCGTGCTTCTGCTCTCGTGAAATCGATGGGACTTTTTCTTTCTTTTTTTTTTTATGAAATTTATTTACTCGGCGAGAGATAGAGAGAGAGAACGTTTGTTTCCCGTGTGGTGTAGTTTGACTTTTAGACGTTTTCTTTCCCGCATATATACTCTCTCGGGGTTTTTGGAGCACACGGGCACTCTCGGGCCGACGAGCGACGGAAATAGCCGATGATTGCCGAACGCTTGCCGCGCCACGAAAGAACGCCCTCCAACGAGCAGCTAGACGCGAAATCTGTAAACCGAAGTTACGGAACACTCGATAAAAAGAATCACGTTTTTTTTAGTTACTCCCAGCCACGTACACGTACACGCAGCGACGGGCCGAACTGTCGAACGATTCTAACCTGCTAAAAAAGATACGCAATCCCCTTCTCCCCCCACCCCCCAACGAAGTCGCGGTCGTTTTGTCAGTTCGAAGGATCTGTGTCGGAGGGTTGTATCTCGCGATACTCTCAAACACTCTCCGAGGAGATTTATTGACACAACATGCGATGGTCGAGCGAGGTACACGGTGCCAACCAACCAGCAGTTCTGCACGGCTGACAGACGAGAGATAATGCCCGTTCCTCGCGTGGCTCGTGTCGAACCACTGACCGTGCGTTGATTTACACACATGATCGAGCGGTGGTGTGTCGCTGTTCACACGATATTCCCGTAGAACATGTGAAAATCGTACGAGGAACATACGAGGTCTGTCTATGGTGGGTTTTGTCGTAGTGCGCGGGGTAACGCCTCTCTCCTTCGATTCTCGCGTCATGCCGAGAGTCCTTGTGCCCGACACAGTATATGCTATACGTTTCGTGATACATCCGAGGAAGTCTCTAATCGTCTTCTGTACGGATGAACTGTCCACTGCTTGGTAGGTGTAACGATGTATTTCTTTTTTTTTTCTTTCTCTGTTTCTCCCCCTCTGTGTGCGTGCGTGTGTGTTTCTATCTCCCTCGCGTATTTCACTCTTTCATGCTTATTCAGTCTCTCTCTTTCTATCTCTATCTCTATTCAGTTATCTATCGTTTACTCTATCCTACTCTATCTTTATCCTCTCTGTCTGTCTGTCTATCTGTTTGTCTGTCTGTCTGTCTGTCTTTCTTTCTCTCCTCGTCTCTCCCTCCGTTCTGCCACGGAGTCCCTTCTCTCTCTCTTCTAATGTACCCGCGCGCTCTCTCAATGTATCATTGTGAAGATCTGCGCGAGGTGTTACGCATACACATGCACGCGCGCGCGCGCTCCTCCACATATAGTGTACATGTGGTACGTACGTGTATGCGGAATATTGTTGAAACATGCGCGTGTGTATGACGTGTTATGTTGCATCGTACGATTAGTGGCGAGTAGCCGCGTGTGTAAAGTGGATTTCCTAATTTTTTTTACAATCGAAATGTGACAACTCAGTGAAAACAGAAAGCCCGTGTAAGAGGAACTGTGAATATGCGTTTCTAAAACTAGACTTTTTATTCGAGCTTGCTTTGTACACTCTCTCTCTCTCTCTCTCCCTTTGTGCGTGTGTATGCGCGCGCGCGCTTCCGTGCCTGTGAATGTGTACGGTGGATGCATGCACATTATTTATTTATTTGTGATCTTGGTAATACATCCTCTGTACTGAGGTTAATGAAACGTAGAATCAAGTGAACTGTTTAAAAAGTGGTATCGCGCATCAGTCAATTTGTATTTAGGGATAGTTTGTTTTACATAATTCTGTTTATAGTTTTTTTATTGTGATTGTTTGGTTTTATATAATATCAAATTAATATGAAATGCCAACATGTTTATATGAGTTTTGTAAATTTTTGCAACTAAGTACAAAGATCAAGCAGACTTTATTGTTTCAGTTATACTTGGTACACTGTTTCTACGCAAGAGTTTCCTAACATGTTCTTTCACGTTTCAAATTTCAGGAATTATCTGGACAAAACAGTAATGATAGTTCGAATGGACCTGCTTGTCCAGGAACACCAAATTCACAGGGGATGAGACCAACCCCTTCTCCTACAGGATCTACAGGTTCTCGCTCGATGTCCCCTGCTGTTGGTTTGTATATTTTCAGTTTATGTTCCACAGTTCAGTTTTTTGAACGAAATTTTGTAACCTTTAGTTTCCTGAATAAAATTTTTCCAGGTCAACAAAACGTTCAGATGCCTCCACGCCCGTCAAGCAGCCAGTCAGATGGTAGTGGACCAGCAAGAATGAGTCATTCTCCTATGACAACTCAAGGTAAATGAATTATCAAAAAATTTTATTTATTTTGCCTTCTCCTTACATAATATGTGAAATATGTTAATACATTATATATAAAAGATATAATATACACAATGCTTTCAGGACCATACCAGCAGCCACTGGGTCCTTCACCACACATGCATAGCTATAAAATGAATAGCACTGGTCCTGGTGTTGTTCAACCAGGACCTGGTTCTACGAGTCTTGGTGGAATAAACCCAATGGGTGGTGGTATGGGATATGCAGCTACTGGAACGGCTGCAGGTCAGCCTGGGGGTTATCATACGCAAGGTACCTATCCACCTCCACGTCCACATGTACAATTTCCGCAAGGATATCCATCACCAGCCAATTCACAACCACCACCCAACAATCAGTATCAAGCTTCTAATAGACCCAACAATTTGGTGCAATATCCTCCGTATACAGTAAGTAAAATTGTATTTTTGAAGAAAGCGAGACTTTTATGTTATTTATGCTAAATCGAGGTACCACTTTCTTTGCAGCATAAAATGGGATTTAATAGTGTACCACCAGGAATGCCACCTAGTCCAGGGCCACCTCAAGTTTACGGAGGTACTAGTACATCAGGTATGGTACCACCAGGTACTCCAGGAGTGGCGGTGATCGGTAATATGGGTCCACCAGCAAGTTCAATGGGACCTCCACCACCATCGCCTAATCATGTTAGTAATCAGCCACCACCGACCAGTTCGGCTGTACCACATTTGCATACTCCTGCGGCTACACCACCTCTCAATCACGAAGGAAGTCCAATGCCTCCACCGAGTACCACACCTAATTCACACTCTGCTTCAACACCGACACCAACCAGCCATAGTTCTGCAGATCTTGCTACTGAAACTTCTAATGATAGTGGCATAACCACTACTGCTTCAGGTATTTCTATTTTTCATTTATCGCGCATTTCAACGTGCGTAATTTATTGAACAGAAGGATGATTAGAAATATTCACTGTAATCATACAGGTACGTCAGTTATAAATGTCACCTCTACTTCAAGTGGTACTGTCACATCCGTAATAACGACTGGTCCTGATGGTACGTCCTTGGACGAAGGTTCTCAACAATCAACGTTATCAAACGCATCAGCTGGTTAGTACAAACTGTCAAAAACATGGTGTACTTTGTTTAACTTTATTATAAATATGTAACTTTATTTTGATATAGCTTCTGTAGAAGATCCGACATTTCCACCGAAGGTACGGAAAGATATGATGGGAGGATATCATAGTCATCCAGCTACGCCACAGAGTACTGTTCCGTCACCTGGTGCTGCGAGTATTAATTCGATACACGAGGAATATCCTGATATGAACAGCCCCGGTTGGCCACGTACTCCTGCTAGTCCTGTATGTATTTCGTTTCGTTATATGATTCTTAAGAATCTGATATAATGGTTACTACTTTTGTATGTTATATTTGTATCTTTATATATTGTGCATGTTGTAATATTTTTACATGAAAATTTCTAAGAATGATATATGATCAAGGATAATGTGTTTTATGCTACAGTTTCCTTTGATTTTTCAATATTTTATATATTTTACAGGTATTTAACAGTCATGTGCCTCAAGACCCATACAGATCTAAGGTTACTGTTTATTCACTATAAGTATTTATCACACCGTTGCACAACATACTATTACACTATTTACACTAAATGCTTTGCTTAGTGTTGCTACATTAAATGCTAATCTAGATACCATGATATTTGCTTAACAAATGTAATCATTTGAACTTTCTCTATTTTAACGTTGCATTTTTTACAAAAATATCTACGTACCACTGTTTTATTTTCGTCATTGAACGACGTGTCATTATAACACAATTATCAAAAATGATTATACAACAGTTATATTTTGTACAGAAGTTTATTAACATAATAATCTCTAATATTAACGAAGAAAAAATATAAATTTCTCTACAAACAAAAATGATACATTCTAAGGAAGTTCTTGTTGCTTATTTTCTTACGTCTTTTAAATCTTTTAAAAACATTTTGTTTTATATAATTGCATGATACATGTATACATCTTTTCTACTACCGTTTCAAAAAACAATACGTTTTGCATGAAAAGTCTTTCTTCAAATAATTTTTAATAATTATAAGTAATCAAATGACGTTACAAATGTAACTAGAGAAAGTAATCCATTGAAGTGTGTAAGAAAAATTGTAACTGCGACACAACACAGTTGAGGTTAACAGATTTCATAATGATAATTCCAGAAACCAGACAGTTTAGCAAAGCTATATGAAATGGACGATACAATGGAGCGAAGAACGTGGTTGGATAAATTAGTTAACTTCATGGAAGAACGAAGAACTCCTATTACTAGCTGTCCTACCATCTCCAAGAACCCCCTCGACCTATTTCGGCTATACCTCTACGTGAAAGAGAGGGGGGGCTTCATGGAGGTATGCAAGGTGCAGTGTAGTTCCATCTAGCCCTCGGTGTCTTTATAGTAGTTTTTTTCATAATTCTATGTGTATTTTTATTCGTTTCGATATTTATGTACACACATTTTAATACGTGTTAAAAGAGAACATCAATGAACTCGGCCAAAGTCATCCGAGTTCTTGTCTCGTTTCGTTAGTTGACAATTATTATTTATATATACTTGACGTATACAATTGTGCTTTGTTTCTGTGTGCGCTGAATTGTGCATGGTTTATATACATATATATATATACATATATTTATACATATTTTCTTTTTTCTTTTGCTGCATAATATTTTTTTCTTTTCTTGTACACTGTTTATGAAATTACGACGAAAAAAAGAAGCTTAACTCGTCTTTTCTTAAAGTAGTCATTCGACGCGTATGGAAAACGCCCTGATCTACAAACCTTGGTGCTATATGGAATTATTCTAATATTCAGCGAAGAATAAACTTTTAATATCAATCATGTAATAACGGTAATTCGTTTCGATTGTACTCTTGTCTATTTGTTTCAATTTTCAACATTTGCATGATCAGGAATCGAGGTATTTGTATGTACAGAAAAAAAAAAGAAAAAAAAAGATTGCGTTATTCGATTTCTTTTTAGACTAGCCGCCGTAATAATTTTTTCCACGTATTTCTTTTTTTTCTTTTTTCTTTTTAGTTTAATTTTGTGTTTTCAAAGTGCAGATTTTTGTCTGTTTGGATTCTCTGCTAAAAAAACACGCGGAACAAATCTGACAAATACTGATAAGAAAATTGACCTTAATTCTCTACAGGTGACCAAAAACAAAACGTGGAAAGACATAGCTGGATTATTGGGCATTGGTGCAAGTAGCAGTGCGGCATACACACTACGGAAACATTACACCAAGCATTTGTTAGCGTACGAATGTCACTTCGACCGTGGAGGTGTCGATCCTCAGCCTATCATAAATCAAGTTGAAGCTGGTTCGAAAAAGAAACCATCAAAGGGAACTGCCTCCGTACCCTCACCAGGTGAGTGTTTAAAATATTCAAGCTTCTTGAAAAACTTTGTTTTCTCTCTCTCTCTTTGTTTTCAATTATATCATGACGTTGATGATGTTACATTGTTACATTATTTTTGTATCTTCAGGGTCTTCCAATTCACAAGATTCCTTCCCTGCTGCTGGATCAAACAATGCTTCCATGGATGGTTATGGAAGTTATCAGAGTGGTTATACCAGCAGTACACCAGGAGGACCTGCGTCAGAGTATACACCTCCTCCGCCGAGACCACCTAGTCAGAGTAGTGCACCTTCTCCGCATCAAGGTAAGAGAACTTCTTTCCATCTTCTAATCCTAGTCGCATTGAAATCTACATCGAGTAAATCTTACATCATATAAAGTCTTAATAATAATCGACTTGGGAAAGTGTTTGACGCGATGAACACTTTGCCAAGCATGTGAAAGGAATTGCGGTTGAGAGAATATGTTCTGGTAGGTGGTTTGAACCAGGGCGGGCAGAATAGCACGAATCCGTTCGACGACGGCGTGGGACGCCTTTTTTGCAAGTCGAACGCAACGTCCCACCCTGGTCCGTTACGAGCCTCAGGTACTTCTCTCACCCTTGTCTCCTTTCACAACGTACAGCCAAACTTGTTTCTTCGTCCATTTACGTTTACTTTCAATGTACATTCACAATGTTACAACATTTTGTTTGACTAACTTCCCTTTGGTGTTATTCATGATATCGTTGTTCGAAATTTTTCCTCTCTTTCAAACAATTTGGTTCATATTCAAACAGGCATCCAACAAGGCAGTTACCAGAATACAGGTTCCTACCAGAATTATCCCCAGGATCAGTACAGCCGGCCCCAACCGAACACGCTGGCTCAGCAGGGTGAATTTAACCAGCCTTATTCACCGCGGTCACATTACTCACCTTATGTACCAGACGTTGACAGGTTAAAGATTAAACTCATCTTGAGCCTTTTTTTTCTTTTTTAACAAAAGAACGGAGTATAACTTTCGACAATATGTTTACAGAGGATACCCTGGAGGAAATATGCCGCCGAACAACGCTAGTGGACAAGATATATACAATAGATATAGTAGTAGTCAACAGCCGGCAAATTACTCGGCAAGTACACCACCTAATGCAAGAAGTAATAGCTATCCGTCTACGCCACAAGCACATCCACCTACTGTACCACAACAAACGGCAACCAGCCAGCCTTCTTCACCTTCGCAGCCTCCTACTCCTTCGTCTTATTCTTGCCCCCAGGATTACTATCGACCAGAGCAGGTGATATTGCGTATTCTATTTCTTGATAGAATTCTTCTAGATACGTTGTTACATGTTCTGTTTCTTTCCTTGTATTATATCTTTCTATATCTTTCTGCGTGGTGTGTTGCGATAAACATGTAATTGTGACAAATATTTTCTGATGGAGCTAATTATTATGATGGATATTGAAGGGCGGATACGGAGGAACACAGATATACTCAGGCGGTGCGAATGCGAACAAGAATATGCCGCCACCACCGCCTGGTCCAAATCCACCTAGACGTCACCCAGATTTTGCCAAAGACCAACAATATCCTCAATATAATCAACAACGACCAGCGTATCCAGGTAAAGGGTATTTCAAAATTAGCTTTCAGAAGTCAGGCGTATTAAAGTATATGAACAAACGTGAAACGTTACGGTGAAACGTTAATTGACAGGATGGCCAAATACAACTAATCAGTACAATAGTAGTAGTGGAAACAGTAGAGTTCAGTATCCATCTCAACAATCACAATCTCAGTCGCAACAACAACAGCCACAACCACAACCGCAAACACCACAGTCTGCTTCTTCTACACCCTCGCCAGGACTTCCCAACAGTCAACAGTGGGGTAGTCAGCAACCAAATAGAACCACACCTCAACCGACTTTGAACACTATAGCTCATGCTCCTCCACCGTGGGATCATCGTTACACGAATCAACCGTCCCCTCTTTATCCTGCACCTGGAAATCACCAGGTAATTGATTTTTACAAATATTCTCTAGTACGGTACAGTTTAAGTTGAACCAAGTTTGTTTCACCTTCACTTTTACCTTTCCCTGGTGATATCATCGACTCTTGTTGCCTCGTCGTTCACAGAATCAGCTTGGTATAAATCCCATGATTACCCAGCAACCAACATCGAAAAGAGAAATGACATTCCCTCCTGACAGCGTGGAAGCGGTGACCCCACTTCTCTACAAACGGCGGAAACTTACACGCGCCGACGTAGCACCGATAGAAGCTTGGCGCATCATGATGGCCCTGAGATCAGGCTTGTTAGCCGAAAGCTGTTGGGCCCTCGACGTATTAAATATTTTATTGTTCGATGATTCTTCTGTAAGTTTTGTCTTTCAATGTCTCCTTACATTCTTTAACAACTGAAACACGAATAACCGAGTGATCATGAAATCCTACTACAGGTAAGTTATTTCGGGTTGGCACACTTACCTGGACTGTTGGACGTTCTTCTGGAACATTTCTCGCGCTCTCTGTCGGACATGTTCGAGTCACCAGTAAACGAGGACGATCGAAATTGGAATCAGTCGGCAGATGGGCCGGAGGTGGATCTCGGCTCGGTGACACGCCCCATTGATCCCGAGGATCGGACGAAGCTACTCTCGTCGGCGAATTATACATTTCTGTCGAGACGGGGTCGTCCGGTGAAGATCGTCCCAAGGGACGACGATCTGTTCGTCCTCGACACAAGAAGGTCTTGGGATCACCAAGACTGCGAGTCGGAAACAGAACCGTGGCAAGTCGACAACAACACCACCAAGTACATAGTGACCTGTTTTCAATCAGAGATAGGATCAGTACCGTTCGCTCGCCTCCTTCGAGACGAGAAGCCGCCGTTGCTGCAGAAGGAAGTGGAGTGCACAGACATGAAAGACGAAACCAAAGCAGAGCCTGGTGCGCTCGAGGCGTCCGAGTTCTCTCAGAAGATGGCCGAGCCCGGGCCGTCGAAGGAGATGAACGAGAAGAAGCAGCTGGACAAAAAGAAGAAGACAAAAACGTTGAGCGACGTATTGTCGAGGATCAAGAAGGAGCCGGTCGAGATGAACGATCTGACGAGAGAGCTGTTCGAGAAGAAGAACGACGGGTACAAGAAAGAGTGTGACACCGAAACGACGACGACGACGACAAAAGTGAATAATAACATGGGCGAGCATTTCGCGGACGTACAAAAACAACAACCGGAGGATGAGCTCGCGCCGACGCAAAACGGTTTGAACGAGACGGCCGTGAACGCCGAGACGACGGCGACGACGACGGCGACGACGGCAACGACGGAAAAGACGGAGATGAAAGTGGAGAACGAGGAACAAGAATCGACGGTGAAGGACGACGCTAAGGAGGGACCAAGATTAAATATAAGAGATCCGGCAGGCACGTTGAAGAGAAGACGAATAAGCGACTACGAGGACGAAAGTTACTCGAGGGACGAGGCGAGTCTGTACCTCGTCACGGAGACCCAGGACAACCTGGCCCGACGTTGCGTCTGCCTGTCCACAATTCTGAGGAATCTCACGTTCATCCCGGGCAACGAGGCGGAGTTCGCCAAGAACGTGACGTTCTTGAGCCTTCTCGGCAAGCTGTTGCTGCTGCATCACGAGCACCCGGTGAGGACGCAGAAGACGCGCAACTACGACCGCGAGGAGGACGCGGATTTCGCGGACTCTTGCAGCAGCCTGCAAGGCGAGAGCGAATGGTGGTGGGATTTCCTGCATCACATCAGAGAAAACGTGCTCGTCATGGCGGCGAACATCGCCGGCCACATGGATCTGAGCCAACACCCGGAGGAGATATCGCGACCGGTGTTGGACGGTCTCCTCCACTGGGCGGTGTGTCCAGCTGCCCACGGACAGGACCCGTTCCCCACGGTTGGCCCGAATTCTTCTTTATCGCCCCAGCGACTGGCACTGGAGGCGCTGTGCAAGCTCTGCGTGACGGAATGCAACGTGGACCTGGTGGTCGCCACGCCGCCGTACTCCAGACTCCAGAGACTCTGCTCGGTATTGACCAGGCTACTCTGCCGTAGTGAGGAGCAAGTGTTGCGCGAGTTCGGCGTGAACCTTCTCCACTTTCTGTCCGCAGCGGACAGCGGTGTAGCGCGTACGATCGCTTTGCAAACGCCTTGTGTCGCGCTGTTGGTAGCGTTCATCGAGCAGGCCGAGTCGAGCGCGCTCGGCGTCGCGAATCAACACGGATTGGCCGCGTTGCGCGACAATCCCGAGTCGATGGGCACCAGCCTGGACATGCTGCGACGCGCCGCTGGCACCCTCTTGAACCTCGCCAGGCATCCCGATAATAGAACTCTGCTCTTGCAACACGAATCACGGTTACTCGCCTTGGTGATGAGTCAAATTCTAGATCAGCAGGTGGCCGCGATCGTTGCTCGCGTGTTGTTCCAGTGTTCCAGGGGCACGTAATTTTGTTTCATTTCAAATGGACGGTATATTTCTTTTTTTTTTTTTTCTTCTTCGTTCTTGGTTGATCCGCGAGTGTTTGTTTGTTTAGCCCCTTTTGTGCAAAAAGTGATGATGATGATGATGATGATTATGATGATGATGATGATGA